TGAATGCACATAGAATTAATATTTACTTCCATTCTAATACGCAAATGAAAAAGAGAATTGATGAAAATATGTTTAACTACATTTAGCCTAGAAGTAATTTTTCTGACGTCTTTTGGTTTTTTGGTTATATAATCGTGTAAGCATTACTTTTTTATGCTGTGCATATACGTATCGTATCGTTTAATTGTACACTTAACTGTCTTATCTGTTTAATATAATAATACTCTTAACTGCCCTTTCTGCTTTTAGGGAAATATTGTTACGCGTATTAAAATGTATCATGATACTAATACCTTTCACCAAAAGAACCAACACTGTTCAAAAATTAAGATGTTGCATTAAATATTGAAGATTCTTAGGTGTTACTAGTAAATGAGCTTATTTAAGTACGTGAGTAAAACACCTCTGAATATGCTCATATAGGTTGCCCGTTGTTCAATACTTAATTTAAATATCAAATAAATAAATGTGTTGATTAAAATGTAAATTAGTTCTGTCTAGTCTGTGCATATTGTTAAACACTAGAATTCCATAGCTAAGATATGTGCAACAATATGAAAAGTGGTGATCTTAAGGGAAAATTACACAAGAGGAAGAGAATCTTTAAGTTAAAAGAACGCCTAAAACAGCAAAATTGAAATTGCTGCATGCTTGGTTGATTGAATATGTTCTTCGACTGTGCAACAGTTCATACCCCGTAGCACCGGCTATAATATACATGATTTCATTTAAACAAATTCCTAGAATTCAAAGTATGTCTGCACTTATATAAATGTTGCATCTGAAATTAGACAAATAAATGTGAATTACAGAAAACCCTTTACGTGATAAATCTTATACAAAATAATCAGGCTGAATTTAGTTAAATCTCCTGAGTAAGTTTCATCTTTAATATCATACAATTTACTGGATTAAGATGTATGTGGTTAGAGTTCCAGATGTGAATTTAAATTATATAACGTCGGAAACACATGTTTATCTTAAATATACTGTACTATATAAAGATACTTTAGAACATTAAAGTTTTTATATTTCAAGTATTTTGTATTCTTAAGAGTCTCCAATATGGCTTTAAGAAAAGATGAATGTAAAAAATTTGTCAAAATGTTCTTGTATTTTTTATACCGTTTGATATAAATCTACATTATTGACATGTGTCCAAAATTTCATTTGGTCACTCCACGTTTCCAGAAATATCATTTTAGAAGCGCAAATTGACATACAATCATTTAAGCGTTTACTCGCTTTATAAAAATCAGACTATAAATCGCATTTTATTTTGATTTCCAATTTATATCTTAATATATTTTTTCATTTATTTATCTTTTTATATACTTTTTTTAATGGAAGGTTTTCAAATTTTATAATTTTTAGTCCTCTGGAATTCTAACTAATATTTCATATAGGTTTTTTATAGGGCATAAGCATGCAAAAAAAACATTACAAGAAACACGTTAAGAAATAAAATACATCATCATAAACATACACTAAAAGCTTTTTTTAAGTAACATCTATTTTAGACTACAGACGATTTATGACGGTGTCACGGTTTACCGATTCAATTAAATCAGTTTTGCAATTTTCACATTTTTCTTTCTTGCAGCGATTGTAAATTTTTCAGACTTTTTACGACTGAATTGTTTCATTTTAAACGTAATTGACTCTGTCTCATAAACTACCATATAATAACGTACGTGTTTAATATGATTTTTTATCGTTCTGCTAGAATTGTCTTCGATGAAGTTTAACCTGATGTTTCAGTTTTAATTGGTCCTCCTTGTATCACAAAATATTTTAAATGAATTTTGAATGAAAAAAATGTGCCTGGTCTTTAAATTGTTAGTTGTTTACATCTTCGAAACGGAGTCTACTATAAAGCTCTTTTTATGATAACGTCCTATGCTATTAAGAAATTATTAATAATAATAATGATAATAATAATAATGATGTATAATTAATAATAATAATGATAATGATAATAACAATAATAATTTTAGAAATATGTTGATAGATATTGAAAAATCAGACTTTTATTGCTTATAACATGTTAATCATTACTTGAATTGTAAAATATTTTACTTTACTTATACAAATCATTTTTTGTACTTAAGGACATTTCGGGAGTTTTCATTTAGACATATAGGCAAAATTAAAACAGTTCAATAGAATTCAGTAGAATATGATAACAGAAATATTTTAAGCGAAAATCAATTGGGTTTACTGTTCTCGTTTTTGAGTTATCTACCCCTGAATCAGACTTTTCTACTTATTTGAGGTCATTTCAAGGGCAGATAACTTACATATAACACAATCAATTCTTGTTTTTACTTCTGGATTATGTTTTTCTTTTTATTGTTGAGTACAATACATAATAACATACAATTCCTTACATCGGTCTGTTATTTTTTTTAATGAAAATAAAGGTACTTTAAATTCTTAAAAAATAGGCCATTTTTAAAGAAAAATGCACAGGTTAAAGAAGAAGTGGGAATAAAAACTACCCACTCTAAATTTGTTCTTGAAATTTTGCATTTCAACTAAAACGAAGGTAAGCTTCATTAAAATAAGAATACAATTATATTGTTTCCATTCATTGTAAATTATCTGTCCTTGAATTTAACATAAGTCCAATTCAAAGGCAGATAACTCAAAAACGAGAACGGTGACCCAATTTTGTTTTCGCTTAAAATGTTTCTGTTATCATATTCTAACAACATGCCAAGTTTAAAGAAATTCTATTGAACAGTTTTATTTTTGCCTATATGTCTATTATATGAAAACTCCAGAAAATGTCTTTAAACGCAATATGTTTAAAGGAACTCCGCAATGTTAGTTTGACATGACGGGAATGAGAATATTTTTTCGAGATTCCATGTTCCATTTGATGTTGGTCTAGACAAATAACGTGTATGTACACATTTCAGATCATTCCTTTACTCTGTTTCCGGAATAATTATTTTAAAAAAAATGACCTTAATTGAAAAGCGTTGCAACACTTTGCACATATCTTGGGATAAAATTAGCTCAAATTACAGCTCAGTTCCTTTAAAGTAATGTTATTTCAATCTGTGATTCTGTAACCACCGCTATCTATCTGGAAGCGCGGCATGGGGTGCAGTACGTTGTAAAATAGATAATGACATTTCTAACACTACTCCGAATATATGTTGTTTAAGCATTTTATGTTAGGACTGATTAGTTACCGTGGAATTTAAATGGTTTAGTGACAAGCCGTTGTTTCTTTGAACAAGAAAAATAAACACACATTGCTTTGTGCTTAGTACTGGTTAGTTCTGGTTAGATATGGATTTGAAAGCTTATAGCTTCCAACACAATCAAATTCTAAAAAAATGGTATAAACTAAATTGTTTATTGTCCCTTGTTGTCACTTCAATTGTCATATTTTTACATCATTAAAATCTGTCATATGGAGGCTGAAATCTTTATTTGTAAAGACGATCCAATGTTCAAACATAAAGGCATTACATATGATGTATGATGATACAAAAGATTGATAATGTTTAAAAAAACGTTTGGAAATAAAATAAAACAGCTGATATTATAATTAGGGATTTGCTCAAAATTTCCCTAATTGGGGACAGTATAAGCGATTTTAGGGTCATCTTTTTTCACTAAATTAAGGAGGACTGTTTTTGAAATAATCAAAATTGCAACAAAACGTTGAAATAAGGGCTTGGATTGTTGAAGTAATAAAAAGGAAAACACATGAAATCGAGTTTAAATTTTATTACAAATAATTCCAAACCAGTAAAAGGAGGATTAATCCACCCTAAGTTGCAAAACATGTATTTTAACAAAGATCTTATAGCAAAATAAAACAAAGGAGGACTAATCCGCCTATTTCAATGTACTTCAAACCAAAGACTAAGTATTTTTTCAAGGTGTCTTTAGAAAAAAGTAATTGAAATGGCGGACTAATCCACCTTTACACAATTATCAAAACTAAAATGTTCAATTATAACACATGAAGGAGGACTAGTCCGCCTCATTCAATGTAACCTCAACCAAAGACGTAATATTTCTCAATTAATCTTTAGAAAATGTTAACTCAAAAGGCGGACTAATCCACCTTTATACATACAATAAATAAAAAACTAAAAACTATAAAAACAAAAAGGAGGATTAGTCCGCCTTTTTCAATCTAAGTCAAAACAAATACTTTGCATTTTTCAAACATAAACTGATAGGACAGACTAATCCAACTTTATACAATAACCAAAACTGAACAACTCAATTATAAAACATGAAGGAGGATTAGTCCGCCTTTTTCAATTTAACTCTATAACCAAAACTGAACAACTCAATTATCAAACATGAAGGAGGATTAGTCCGCCTTTTTTAGTGAAACTCAAAATAAAGATCAAGAGTCTTTAGAAATCATTAATTGAAATGGCGGACTAATCCACCTTTACACAATTATCAAAACTAAAATGTTCAATTTTAACACATGAAGGAGGACTAGTCCGCCTCATTCAATGTAACCTCAACCAAAGACGTAATATTTCTCAATTAATCTTTAGAAAATGTTAACTCAAAAGGCGGACTAATCCACCTTTATACATACAATAAATAAAAAACTAAAAACTATAAAAACAAAAAGGAGGATTAGTCCGCCTTTTTCAATCTAAGTCAAAACAAATACTTTGCATTTTTCAAACATAAACTGATAGGACAGACTAATCCAACTTTATACAATAACCAAAACTGAACAACTCAATTATAAAACATGAAGGAGGATTAGTCCGCCTTTTTCAATTTAACTCTATAACCAAAACTGAACAACTCAATTATCAGACATGAAGGAGGATTAGTCCGCCTTTTTTAGTGAAACTCAAAATAAAGATCAAGAGTCTTAAGAAATCATTAATTGAAATGGCGGACTTATCCACCTTTACACAATTATCAAAACTAAAATGTTCAATTTAAACACATGAAGGAGGACTAGTCCGCCTCATTCAATGTTACCTCAACCCAAGACGTAATATTTCTCAATTAATCTTTAGAAAATGTTAACTCAAAAGGCGGACTAATCCACCTTAATATATACAATAAATAAAAAACTAAAAACTATAAAAACAAAAAGGAGGATTAGTCCGCCTTTTTCAATCTAAGTGAAAACAAATACTTTGCATTTTTCAAACATAAACTGATAGGACACACTAATCCAACTTTATACAATAACCAAAACTAAACAACTCAATTATAAAACATGAAGGAGGATTAGTCCGCCTTTTTCATTGAAATTAAAAATAAAGATCAAGTCTTTAGAAATCATTTACTGGAATGACGGACTAATCAAACTTTAATCAAACTAAAAAACGCAAGGAGGATTAGTCCGCCTTTTTCAATTAAACTCAATAACTAAAACTGAACAACTAAATAATCAAACATGAAGGAGGATTAGTCCGCCTTTTTCAGTGAAACTCAAAATAAAGATCAAGAGTCTTTAGAAATCATTAACTGAAATGGCGGACTAATCCACTTTTATACAATAATCAAAACTAAAATGTTCAATTATAACACATGAAGGAGGACTAGTCCGCCTCATTCAATGTAATCGCAACCAAAGACGTAATATTTTTCAAATAATCTTTAGAAAATGTTAACTCAAAAGGCGGACTAATCCACCTTAATATATACAATAAATAAAAAACTAAAAACTATAAAAACAAAAAGGAGGATTAGTCCGCCTTTTTCAATCTAAGTCAAAACAAATACTTTGCATTTTTCAAGGAGTCTTTACTAAACATAAACTGAAAAGGACAGACTAATCCAACTTTATACAATAACCAAAACTAAACAACTCAATTATAAAACATGAAGGAGGATTAGTCCGCCTTTTTCAGTGAAATTAAAAATAAAGATCAGGAGTCTTTAGAAACCATTTACTGGCATGGCGGACTAATCAAACTTTAAACAATAATCAAACTAAAAACTCAAGGAGGATTAGTCCGCCTTCTTCAATTTAACTCAATAACCGAAACTAAACAACTCAATTATAAAACATGTTGGAGGATTAGTCCGCCTTCTCAAATAAATTCGAAATAAAGATCAAGAGTCTTTAGAAATCATTAACTGAAATGGTGGACATATCCCACTTTAAATAATAATCAAACTTAAAACTCAATTATAAAACATGAAGGAGGATTAGTCCGCCTCTTCAATGTAACTTAAACCAAAGACGTGATGTTTATAAAATAATCTTTAGAAAACGTTAATTGAAATGACGGACTAATTCACCTTCATGCGATAATCAAAACAAAAACACTCAAGGAGGATTAGTCCGCCTTCCTCAATTAAACTCGAAATAAAGATCAATGAGTCTTTAGAAATCATTAACTGAAATGACGGACTTATCAAACTTTAAATAATAATCAAACTAAAAATAAACTCAACAAGAAAGCATGAAGGAGGATTAGTCCGCCTTTTTCAGTGAAACTCAAAATAAAGATTAAGGAGTCTACAGAAATCATAAAATGAAATGACGGACTTATCCAACTTTAGATAATAAAAAAACTCAAGGAGGATTAGTCCGCCTTCCTCAATTAAACTCGAAATAAAGATCAAGAGTCTTTAGAAATCATTAACTGAAATGACGGACTAATCCACCTTTATGCAATAATCAAAACAAGAATAAACTCAATAAGAAAACATGAAGGAGGATTAGTCCGCCTTTTTCAGTGAAACTGAAAATAAACATCAATGAGTCTTTAGAAATCATTAAATGAAATGACGGACTTATCCAACTTTAGACAATAAGAAAACTCAAGGAGGATTAGTCCGCCTTCCTCAATTAAACTCGAAATAAAGATCAAGAGTCTTTAGAAATCATTAACTGAAATGACAGACTTATCAAACTTTAAATAATAATCAAACTAAAAATAAACTCAATGGTAAAACATGAAGGAGGATTAGTCCGCCTTTTTTAGTGAAACTCAAGATAAAGATCAAGGAGTCTACAGAAATCATTAAATGAAATGACGCAGCCACCTTTATACAATAATCAAAACAAAAAAAAACTAAATTGTAAAACGTGAAGGAGGATTAGTCCGCCTTTTTCAGTGAAACTCAAAATAAAGATCAAGGAGTCTACAGAAATCATTAAATGAAATGACGTACTAATCCAACTTTAGACAATAAAAAAAACTCGAAGATTCGTCCGCCTTCTCCAATTAAACTCGAAATAAAGATCAAGGAGTCTTTAAAAATCATTAACTAAAATGACAGACTTATCAAATTTTAAATAATAATCAAACTAAAAAAACTCAAGGAGGATTAGTCCGCCTTTTACAATTAAACTCTACTAAAGATCAAGGAGTCTTAGAAATCATTAATAAAATGACGGACTAATCTAACTTTAAACAATAATTCAAATAAAAACTAAAGGAGGATTAGTCCGCCTTCTTCAATTAAACTTGAAATAAAGATCAAGGAGTCTTTAGAAAACGTTAATTGAAATGACGGTAATCCACCTTAATACAACAATCAAAAATAAATTATGAAACGGAAAAGAGGACTAGTCCGCCTTTTTCAATCTAACTTAAATCAAAGACTATGCATTTTGTTAAAAGAGTCTTTAGGAAAAATTAACGAAATGACGGACTTATCCACTCCATCATTTCATGCAGTTAACATTTTCTATAGACATCTCAAAAAGCACATAGTTTTATGCTTCGTTTGTGGGGGTATAATAACTATATAATGACACTTGACTATATAATGACAATTTCACTGAAATTTAACAATTTGACCTTAATGGTCAAGGTGATTTATAGCTCATGGCCAATGTCAATTAAACCTTTTAGAAGGCCTTGTCTAAAATGTTGTGTTGTCAAAGTATGAAGATAACCCATATGTAAATTACCAATTAAAGTCAATTATAGCAAAAATGGTAGAAAATTCAATAATTTATACTTCAAGGTTTAGGTCATAAAAGAGCCAATGTCAATCTGAGTTTAATATACATGAAGGTCTTATCAAAGAATCTTATATAATAACATGAAGCAAATCCAATCAATAATAAGAAAATTATAGCCAGTTACAGCAACAAAATTATTGAAAATTTCAATAATTTGACCTTCTAGGTCAAAGTCATTCATGAGCAAAGATCAAGATTGGTCTAGTACACTTTAAGGACTATCCTAAATGATTAATATATGCAAAATATATGCAACCTTTAGGAAGATCCATTAAAAATTTACAAAGTTACATCTAATATTACCAAAAATCACAGAAAAACAAGCACAATTTATAACATATGACCTTGAAGGTCAATCATTTATGAATGAAGGTCGGGGTTAGGTACAAGTTTGCGGGCAGAAACGCTGACATGACTGTAACAATACCTCAATTTAAAAAAAACGTTGAGCAACAAAACAAACAATAATTGTTATATAAGAAGCAAATATATTATGTAGTCCTCCTGTTTAATGTTACTGAAAATGACAACAGATAGCCTCTGAACAAAGTTTAAAAACAATGAAAATGCATCCTCCTTTTCGCATGTTTTAAAACAAATAAAATATTTTATGTTTAAACATAACATGACAATCCCCCTTCTTCGGTCAACATAAAACAAAGATCACATGTTTCTTAAAAGTGGTGTTTTAGAAAAATAAAGGACAATTAAACGCATTTACAACAGTTAGGCAAAATGTAAACCAGAATTTTAATACACTTTGAGCTGTCTAAACAATCAAGCTTTTAACAAAAAATGGGGGTCACTATGATCTTGTTTTAAAGTTATCTCCAGCTGAATTTACCTCATCAACTAAGTTAGCAAGCCCCAAATGTTTTCTACCTTCTATGTAGCTTTCTTTCTTTTAAGTGATTTTTTTTTGCTTCATATTTTTCTGTTAATATGGTATCATTTCAATATGTTATGCAACATTCAAGTCAATTGTTCAATGCAGTTTTCATACCACGGTGCACTGTGGCAGAAAAAAGATATATCACTATTGATATGCTTGGATATTACCCCTAAATGCGAAATCAAAACTGTCATCCATAATTTAACAATTAAACTCAAAACATAAAATATTGAATAACTATGCAAATAACTGAAAAACAAGAGCAAAATGAAAAGCAACAATATAGCTGTGGGCAAAATGTAGTCTAACAGGTCTTGTAGTATGTTATGCCAAATCTGTCTTTTGATTTCTCCATCCAGTGGTATTTGACATTGTTGTTTTTCATATCTATAGCATGTCCTCTGTCTACCTTAAAATTCATAATAGAAATAATACAAAAACGTGTTTTGGTGTGTTGTACTCTCTTCAAACCACTAGATAACTGTTGACCAGTATCATTTTGTCATACTTGACTTTAAGCATAGCTTTAAAAGATAAAGTTATATACTTGCATGTATGTATTCTAGCATTACAACTTAATCATTGATAGTTTTCAATGGCATTATTTACCTGTTTTTCTTTTCCTTTGAAATGACGTTGTTTTACTTTTCTGTTTCACTTGATTTTTTTCTTTTGATACAATCTAAAAAGAAATATTTTATTAATAATGTTAAGCACCATATGTAATCAGGCTATGTTATTTATCTATAAAAGTACTATATATGCAATCTGACTATGTTACTAATTGTCTCATGATTTGGTGATCACATGACATTTGTTTACAGTAACATTTGGTCCCCTGCTTATTCCCGTACGATTGCCTTGGAAGCCAGTCATCACATTCATTTATTTTGAATAATAAACAATATTTCATGCTATGTTCCATGCAATTATTTACTAGTTCTTAATTAAATGCTTCATATAGTTTCATTGTCACAATTTCTAAAAGACCAAGCATTTGTAAAAGTAAAAGAGTCACATTGGAAACATATGTACCATTGTAATTGGAATATTAATCCCTGTATGATATTCTACATGACACATACTGAGCCTTTGTAAACAGAATATAAACACATATGATAATGGTATATGTGATATCAATATATGTTAAGTAGCTTATAATTGAGTTTTAATGTTAGCTGGCAGGAACCATTTTTGGTGGACATATTGATATACAGACTCATATTAAGGACCACACAACGGAAACTCCAAAAAGTGACTTAGTACAATGGTCTTTTAAAGGGACTCCACTGAGGTTTAAAAGCCTTAAAACATAACATTTGAATTTCTGACATAAATGAGCTGGGGCACTTTTAATAGAAATATATGCAAAGATAGTTAAGGAATATAATATGAAATAAATTGAAAATCATATTTTAATGATTTTCTTAGACCGATTTGAGTGAAAAGCGTTTAAACGCTTTTCATTTTGGGTCATTTTTTTACAATTTGAATAATTATTCTGGAAAAACGAAGTGCGCGAATGATCTGAAAATTTGCACAAAGATAAGTGGTCTAAACCTACATCAAATGGTACATTTATCTGGAAAAAATATTTTCAGTCCCATCATGTCAAAATACCTCAGTGGAGTCCCTTTAAGACAAAGCATGAGAATAAGTAAAAAATTATTCATTTATTTATTCATGATATCTTTCCTGTTCAATGGGTGTAAATAGGCATTGCCTTGGTATATCTGTAGTCCAGAATATGACTATTGTATAGAGAATATTTATGATAAGCTAAATTCTAATATTGAGTTTAACATAAAGAAATCTTAATACCTTTACATTTAGCAAAAACTTTCAACAGTACCATATTATATAAAAGTAGGTATACAAATTGTATAATTTCAAGACAGTTAGATTTAATAACATAAAATTACCTTCACAGGCTCTGTCTCTTTCACTATCATCCTTTTGATCGTCTCTGGAATTACATCTATATTGTCAACTTGTCTCACAATAGCAGCCTGCCTTGGCAGGTCATCAATCCAAAGTTTTCTACCAGAATCTTTTATTATGCATTTTTCTTTAAGGAATCTGTCCCACCACTTTTTTTTGGAGTTGTCGCTAAACATGAAAGTCATTGAATTTATCAATTTTTGCAGTCTTTCAAAATCTAATTTTGTAACATCTGCTTTCAAAATTTTTGGTTTTCCATCTGGCTTTTTAAAGAGATATGTAGTTTCTTGCTTTGACCATTCCTCTGCTTGGTGGAGCTTGTACTCAACAATTACTTTTCCAGACTGCTTGGAAAATTTAAAATGGTGCTGAGCTGTATGTTTGGAGACTAAATTTAAGTGTGGTTCTAACCAAGACTTTATATCGAACATGTTATTTAGAAGTTCTGAATTTGGAATAGTATTCAGCAGATCTTCTACTGTTTCTGCATCATTTCTTCTTAAGAATTCTCCTATTCGACTGAAACCTGCATCAACATCCTCATGTGTATGCCCAACAAACAAAAAGGAAATATGAACCTGAAATAAAAACAAAAATGAAAATAATTGGCTAATCATAACCCAAATATATCAATTTTTCAATTCATTTTCATCACTCAGTCAAAAAAGTTTGACTTTACTGGTCATAGAGATAACTCCGACGCATATATAACCTCGACACTTGATAAATATAATTGTAATAACCTTGTTTTTCAACAAACAAGCATATGGTCACCTAGTTGTATAGGTGCAGGGCAGAATGTGAAGACTTTTTGTAAGTTGTTTAACTTTTAAATATTTTCAAATAACATAAACTTGTTGTCGGCTAAAATGGCTTCAAAACGTCCTTTTTACAAAATAACAATAAGGTAGTTAGAATTACTTGTATTAACCACAGGCGACTGACTTACTCACTTAGGAATGATTTTTGAATAATTTTTTTTTATATCAATATGAAATAGATCAAACATATAAGATGTAAAAATAAATTACTGATGCTGACTTTCCTATCATTTTTTTCTAAAGAATTTAAGCTCTGACTTTATCTACTTTTGTGGGTTTTGTATACCTCATTCAGGACCTTAAAGAAGTACCAGTTTTCATTTTTATACATATTTTGTAGTGTAATGTAAAGTATTTGAAATGAACTTTGTTTAGGTTGTTCAATATTTAAAATAAACAGGAAGATAATTAAGATAATTGAAAAAATATGCGATAGTGTTGAGAGTTATTATTCCAACTGACCTGTTTCCTATGATAATATTGTTAATTTGCCGTCTTTAGTAAAGTTAAAAAGAAAATAACTCATGAAATAAGTAAAATGTGCAAAAGTTAATAAATAAAAGACATTTACCCGGACAGCTGTCAATTACAGCTGTGGTCCATGCAACGTGAATTGTAACAGTGTTATCTATTTATAGAATGATACTTGTATGGTGTTGATTTTTGTAAATGACTACAAATAGATGCTGCTGTAAAATGTTGTTATTTCTTAAAATATTTTATTAATTCATTGTTTTAAAATAAGATTCATCATTTATCCCATAAACACATAAATGAGCCGTGTCACGACAAAACCAACATAATGGGTTTGCGACCAGCATGGATCCAGACCAGCCTGCACATCCACGCAGTCTGATCAGGATCCATGCTGTTCGCTTACCAACCCTATAACAAGTAGTGAAACTGATAGCGAACAGCATGGATCCTGATCAGACTGCGCGGATGCGCAGGCTAGTCTGGATCTATGCTGGTCGCAAACCCATTATGTTGGTTTTCTCGTGACACGGCTCAAATATATTTTGAACATTGTCCAACAAGTTATGAAAATGGTTGCCCAATCGACTCAACCAATTACAATACGCATGAATATAGATTGACACAGTGTACCCATAATACTCATTTGAAAACACTGGGATAAATATTCTTATTATTTAAAAAATTGATGTATTTGATGAACTGATGTACTAACAAACAATAATATTGACATATTTATGAGTTCACCGATGTAAGCTGGAAAACTTTTAGGTCTATATGTCTGACGTAATAATAGTTCAATCTTGGTTGGCTTGAACTACCGATTTCTGGAACAAATTTGCACAAGCCCCATTCGAGTTCGAGCAAACGAAATGTGAATGTATATATATTTATGTGCAAAGTCATCTTTTTATGTCAGGGAAATGATTTTTGTAAATGTTATTGAGGTTAACCTGGAGATGATATATGCCAAATATCTTAGATCTTGGCATAATGTAGATATTAGAAGACTAAAATGTTAATACCTATATAAGACTATTTAACACATGATTTATGACTCCTGTAGAAGTCCACAAGACAATATCCACACAAATTACCCTAGCTTTGGTAACAGTAAGATTTAAATGTGTTTTTCTTTAAAGTTTTTCTAAAGTTTATGAACCCCAGGGTGGGACCCATTTTGACTTGAGGTTGCCCAAAGCTGCATACTACATTACATTCATATGTAAAGACTCATTGTGATCTTGAATCCTAGAAGTCCAAACCTGTCTCTTTATGGTAATGTTTTTTCTTCCATCAGTTGAGAAGATACAAAATGAACATGTTCAGAACTATAGAACTACCAGGTGCAAAATATTATATTCTGAAAATTGTTCTGCATATTAAAATGAGCGAGCATGCTTCATTTTGAACACTTGATTTTAAATGGATTGTTCATAATTTGATTTATAAACTTACCTCATCAAATATATTTTCCATAACTAACAACTCAAAAAATGCCATCACATATCTGTTCTTATTTTCACGCCAGCAGTTGTCAGCTTGCAGATACAAAACTCTTGGTAGTACATTACCCTGAAATGTTGAAAAAAAGTATTGCTGTCTTTTTTAATAAAATCTAATTGATAATTATAATTCATAGTTTTTGAAAGTCACTGTGTAATTGCACACATCTACAATGCATGCTTATCAGTTTACAAATTAATGTTTTAATAATCTGGTACAGATTTAATGGTAATTTTAAAAAGAAAACCTACTTGTCACCTTATTTCCAATAGAATAAATCTCAATTGTTAAAACAATTATTGCAAAGACTTCCTTACACTGAAAGTGACAATACAAATATTTTCTTACATTTTCAATGAAAGAGTTGATGTTCCATAGTGTATAATATTAGTTTTCATTTTAAACTTGAATATAATTAATCTCATAAACAGGCAAAGCATAATTCTTGTGATTTTAAAATCTATCAAGAACAATATTAACTCTTAGAATCACATGCAGTGTTAGCACTCCTCTGTTAAGTGCAACTAATATTGACGAAATTTCGAGTTAAGGAATAACTTCAAAAATATAGCTTTCAGTGTCTTATTCATAAGTTGATAGATATAAATAGATACATTTTTACATGCCAGGGTTTTGAGATGACATCTTGAGGTTCTGTTCCATGTATATACCAGTTAAATAAATAGATTTGTCTAACAGTAATTCAACACATTTAAAAATGCATGGTGTTCACAATCAATTACCTTTGCATTATTAAAGATATACTTTGCTCATCTTTGGGTAAAACAATTTTATCTTAGAACGCCCATTCTCAATAAAATAAAGCATTTGAGGTTGGAAAATATTAAATATTTGATGTTGTTATTGTGTCATTTTTTATTGCTGAAGTAAATGTTTAGGGTATTTTGCAAGTTTTCTAGAAATATTTTCAACAAGAAACTATAATATAACAGGATGGCATTTACTGCGGTAATGACACTGTATTTCCTCGGTAACGTTGATTTCAGATCTAATAATGTAACATATTGGCTGCATATAAATAACAAATGTGTGTAAAATATATCAAAATGTGTATCTAGAGGAATTTTCTAACCCAGGAAAATTTAAGGAAGTTGGGTACCTTGCTTAATTTCAGTCAATTTCTTCAAAGTTAAATATTCGTAGAAAGCATTCAAATACAAGTAAAGGTGAAGAAAACAATTATATTTTTTGTAGAATAATTTATATTTTTGGATATTATTTTAACATTATTATATATAGAATAAAATACGGTCAGCAAGCTCTTTGCAGAAACGAATTAGTTGTTGTTGAGAACTTGACAGCTTGTTATATATTTTTAACATTTCTGCCTCATTAACATATTATGAAACGTTCTTTCCTTTGCAAAAACACGTTTGTGTCTTCTTACATCTAACCTGTACGAAATTTTGGCACGGATTCTGGGCGGAATTGGCACGGAATTGGCACGGAATCAGTGATTTCTGGGCGGACCAGGGACGGAAACGCAAAATCTGTGCCATTCTGTCTCACAAGAAAAATATTTTGTTCACTTTTCTGGGCGGAAAACTAGAAAAATTCCGGCTGGAATTTTATTTTGAGCAGAATTTATACTTAAACATTTCATCTTGGACAGAATTTTCAACTTTGAAATTTTTTTTGGTAATATTAGGAATAGTCTTCACTACGGGCGGAATTCTATACTTAAACATTTTTCTTGAACAGAATTTCACATATAAGATGTCCAAATCATAATTGTACTCCTGTTTTTGCACTTGCAGACATTGAAATTTTACCTACTGTACTTATTTTTTTTGCTGAACCAATAATTACAGGTGTATTTTTAGAATTTATTATTTATTTATTTTTTTAGACATTAAAATAGGCCTTCTTTTTAGATAAAAAATGTGGCATTAATAATTATATTGTCAGACTAATTTATACTTTTTGTACTGAAAAACTGTAATAATCTTAGTGTAGAATTTGAAAACATTCACCTCCAAAATGCTCAAGTTTATAATATAAAGATTTTTCATACAGCTTGTATTATAATACATTTACTGTATTATGAATTTTAAATATGATTTTAGGACATCATTCTAAAAGCAACATTAAAATAAGAATGCTTTTTAAATTTGAATATACTATAGAATATAGGGCAGTCACATAGGGACAAGATTATAAGTGTGCTTGCCATTTTAAATTCTAAGAATTCATGATTTTGTTATAAAAAATATAAACAAAACAATACAGTGCATGAAATAATCTCATATATAATGCCCTTTTAATCTATATAAAATTGATCAACCAATATGCCCAATAATTGCTTTTATTTACGGTAGGTAAATAAATACTACAATGTATATTCTCACTGAGATTATATTCACCCAGATTTTACACTACACAGATCAGAGCTCTGATAAAACTCTACTGACCAGCAGTTTCCCATCATCTACGCATGACTGGTCATTCCAACAGATCAGGCTGTTCCATGTAATTATTTTGGGGAGAGATAACATTATAAATTGCATATGTAGAATTTGTCTAGGACATATTGCATTTTTTTTTGTACAAAAATTTGTAATTGTTTTTTTAAATTTATATATATCTATTTGTTATTTGATTTTTCTTTTACATTCAATGAATGAAAGTTAAGATGATGAGTAAATTAACCCTGTTTTACATAATGATGGACCGGTCCATTATACAGTAAACTGTTGTGAATTTTGAATTCTAAGATATCTGGGTCAGCAAAAAGAGTGGAGGATGAACTTGATATTTTAACAATTTTGGAGTAAAGTTTTGTTTAAGATCTCAAAGTGTTAAAGTAATTGGTATGATAACATGGGACAAGGAGATGTATAACATAATCAGGTAATTATTAACTTTTAGTTACATTAATTTTATATGACGACTATCAATACTATTAAAGTAGCCAACTAAAATTTGTAACAAGAGGTCATTGTTGTTTTAGTATTTTCAACTTCATACATTTGTTTTGATTTTCTGATAATTGTTTTAAATCTTTAATACATGTATAATTTGCAAGTTAAAATTATTCAATGATTTTTTTGTTAATATAATGGTTGTGTAAATCTATATTGTATAAATAGCATGTAAGTATATCTTTTGCATTTCCTGGAAATTACCCAAATTAAATAAATTTGATTAAATAGGACTAAATGGTACAATCAGTAGTTTTGTACAGTTGAACAGGGTCATCATAATCATTTATTATTTTACATGTTTGTGTTGTCTTTCCTATGGAACAATCTAAAATTACATTTTACACTCATAATTAATTAGGCTGCTCAGGGACTTAAGTGCTGACTGTGAGATGCCAGGTGTTTAATAATGATGTGCAGTATTAATCCTAAAAAGGTATATTTTTAAATCTCTATACTTAACTATTCAACATCTTTCCTTAAAAAATACATAACCAGTATTAAATAGTGTCGCACATAAAGCAGTCAGTTAATTCTTATACAGAGCAATTCTTAAACACTTGTACACTTGAATAACTGATTCTGTGTTGCTTTACTATTTTTGAATATGCTTTATAAGCATAGTTAATATTTAATACTGTTGAAACATAAAATTTGATATTATTAAAAAATATAAAATATAACTGCATATAATTATGCAATAAAACATAATTGAGCCATGTCATGACAAAACCAACATAATGGGTTTGCGACCAGCATGGATCCAGACCAGCCTGCGCCTCAGTGCAGTCTGATCAGGATCAATGCTGTTCGCTATCAGTTTCTCTACTTGTAATAGGGATTGTAAGCGAACAGCATGGATCCTGATGAGACCGCGCAGATGCGCAGGCTGGTCTGGATCCATGCTGGTCGCAAACCCATTATGTTGGTTTTGTCATGACATGGCTCAATTCATTACAAAATATTTGTTTAATTAATTATGAATTTTATTATTAAAGGTGAGCACAACCACAAGAAGTTCTAGGAAACACAGGCAGTGGACTTAAAACAGACATGGATTAAAGAAATAGTAATTTAAATAATAAGAAACATTTGAAACAAATTTATGATTGAAACACTTCCAGCAAAATAATTGCAAAAAAAACAACAAAGTGTTGGATTCTAAGATTCCAAAACCTGCAGGTAGAAAAAAACTGTTTGTGTTATAGTGAATGTAGGGTATTCTTTTCTGTATTTGGACTAAAGGATATGATATCTTTTTTATTAAATTTTGTGAAAGAAAATTTAATGTGATACATTATTGATCATTTTATCCCAAAACATGTGATCATGATAAACTCATAAAATTCCGCCCCCTGAATTCTGTCACAGAATTCCGCCCAGAATCTTGTTTGACAATTCCGCTCCGAAATTCCGCCCCAAGGTTCCGCCCCAAGATTCCGCTTCAAAATTCCGCCCCAACTCATTTGCATATTTCGTCCCAATTCCGCCCAGAATCCGTTCCATTTCCGCCTGGAATCCGGCCGGAATCCGTGCCAAAAGCAAATGGTTTAACACTTGTATATTCGGGGGAGAATTTAAATTTCTGGGCGGAATCTGTCTTTGAATTCCGCCCCATTTCCGTGCAGAAAATTTCGTACAGGAATACAAGATAACCGTTACTAACAGGCATGCTAATCCCAACTTTAACTTTAATTTTCAAAAATTGTTGAATTGTAAGTTGGAGTAACGTATGTTTCACACTGACTTAATTATGAACTTTATCACAGAATTGAAACTTACATCTAATATCAATTTTTTGTATTTAGGAATCAAATTTACACCATTCTATTGTCATAAAAATGCGATTTTATGTTTTTATATTTGCAGGTGTAAACAATATAAAGTCTGTTTGATAAAAGTAACGTTTGTTTCACTGTGGTTACTTAAACAAGTTTAAACTTTACAAAAGTTAACAAAATTTACTTACTAATGTCAAATTGAAGTTAATGTTGCTGTTATATGTGCTTTCTGACTTCAATTTCCCTTTTGATAAAATTATTTTAAAAAGTTGGTAACGTATGTTTCTGTAACGTATGTTTCATTTTTACATTGAAAGTGGTTTGAAAAATGATGCAAGAGCGTATAACCATAATTTGTGGTTAATATATCAGAGTTACACATGTGTTAATTTTCTTTCTTGTTTGGAGTCTTCCTTGAATGGATCAGCTCTTAAACATTGGTAACGTATATTTCTTTTTAAAATGCTGCTGAAAAGATTTGAATAAAAAATGAAAATTTCCGAAAACAGGATGGTATTTGAGGGGCTGCAAGCTTATTTTTGCTTATAATTATATATATGCTGTATTATTAAGCATGCATCGATTCAATTATGTAATTTCTGTTTCGCTTCTAACTGTTCAAGGTTTGTCACTATTTATTTATTTGCATTTGGCGACATTTGATCATCCATTTTATCAATGAGGTTTTAACAGTCAAATATAATTTTTACTAATAATCAAAGTGCATATACACGCAGAAATGACTAATTGCACATGTTTCATTTATTCTGGAACTTATTTTTCTGAAACACAATGTCAAAGTTGAAAATTCTAGGTGGCGACAGTAACATATGTTACATTTTAGGGCATTAATGGTACTTGTAAAAGAAAAATACCAGATAAAAATGTAAAACCGAGAGAGTCCCTATTAGACAAAGTGGCAGGCACCTTTCTAACGACATTTTGATCTCAAGAAAAACCTTCGTATAAGAGCTACCCAGTGGAACATCAAATGCTGTGTTTTATTGAGAATGAGCGAGAAATGTATTGAAATCCATGAAATTCTTACTGAATATTTTTAATTTGAATAAAATAATGAATAAACTATGTATAGGGAGCTGCATTCCCTATTACGGGTCAAGTTAAGTTGGTCTTTTCTTAAAAAAAAAACGCCAGTTTTTTAAATGACACTATATATTCATATTGTGACCACCTGTAGCGTGTAGAGTTCAAACCTAACATATCTACTTTAAATAAAGTTGAAACATGTTTATTTTATACAAACAAAGAGAATATGTAGCAATTATTAATATTTTTAAAAATCAAATTTGAGCATAGTATATCTTTAAACTGTTGACAAACATTACATATAAGATTTTCTTTTATAACATTTATATATATACCTAATTTAATAATCAGCCTGTGATTTGAAAGGCTTTGACATAGCAATTCTATATTTCATTCTTACATATTTGTACTGATAAGGAAGTATTCCATTGGTTTCATTTTGGTAACTTTTAAAACGATAGAATAATGGGCTACATTAAAGTTCTTGAATGATGATGCAGTGATCATAATAGCTTGACATTCCTTTGACACAGACAAGCTTATAATCTTTTTTAACTATGACCTATCAAAAGTATCTTTATTGATACGTATATTATATTATTGACGCAAATAAGTTTTATTTTCAAGTTATATTTTCGTTAGTTTTTTGTTTTCTTCCCTTAGCATCCATTTTATATAAAAGTAAAAATAAAACGTACAACAGAAAAGTTATTGAGCTACATTAGGACCTTATTCTGAGTGTTACTTGACTTCTGATGTTATGGACTCAATTTGGCTACAAACAGTATACAGTGGCTCTATAGTGATGGCAATGACTAAACAAGGGCTAAATATAGAACATGTTACTGCAAAACGTTTACAACATTATTATATAACATTAAATAGCTACTTACATTGTCATGTGTCAACTGTAAAAGCTTTTTCAAAAGGATATTCATAGTCAAATTTGGATCATGAGGATACTGGTTGATATCAATATATATGGTGAATTTCTGATGACCATGGTCTATTACACCAGTCAAGTGTGTTTTTAATAGATCGGCGGGGTTAATGATCTGCAAAACCAAATAAATGTTCATAACATTATGTTTCAATATCAAAGGAGTATGAATTATGATTGAGCAATTGAAGAAAATGAGTTCATAACGTAATATCAACGCAATATACAACCTAATCTTATAATCAATTATCATATACCACATTATGACTTGTAAATGTACTTGTAAATGATATTATACATATTATACATGTTTTTATAAGAAAAAATCACACGAATAATCAGTACGCTGCAGTCAGGACTCAAACCACTAGTTATGCCGGTTCAGTATGCTGACACAGTACTGCACCACAGCCACTGTTGCTTTTTCTTCTAGCATATTGAAAGAGAAGTTACAGTTTCCTATTGCTCCTGAGACTAGCCAAATAAATATCCAAATGTAAGCTCGGGCAGACTAATGCACAAACAAAATGGACAGACAATGCCCATTCCTATATCCCCATTTTGCTTCACAAAGGCAGGGAACAATAATATAATATATAATAGAACAAAAAAATGTTACTAATTTATTACAAGATATAAATGTATTTGAATCCTTACCTTTGGCATTCTTCCAACAATATGGGGTAGATTTGTCTTGCCTGGAAAACAAGATCAGTATCCTTTATGAACAGTTTTAGCAGTTTTAGCTCTACAGGATCTAAACCTTAATTTAAGAGAATAGATAAAAACTTTTTTCCTTAGGACCATTGCTGTACAGTTTCAACAAAAACTACAAATTGCATTATAAGGGGTTTACTAATTTTAGCTCTAGCAGCAATTTTGTTAAGCAAACTTAAACAACTTTAACATTGCCTTGTAAGGATCACCTCTGAAAATTTATAAAGGAACTGAGGTGGAGATGTCAATCATACAGCTCATTTATATTTACAGCACCGGTTGCCATCTTGTTTAACAGATCAAAACCATCTGAACATTTTTTGTAAATGACTACCATACAGTTTAATCAAAATCAATAGCAGTTGATCATTTATGTCATTTAAAGGTTAATTAGCTTTAGCTCTTGCAGTGGACCTAAACAATTTTAGCAATTTTAGTAATTTAAAGGACCCCTTTATTTTAATGAAAATCTATCAAAAGACTAACTTGTTTATTTCTCTTTTTAGGTCTGGAGAAAATTGTGCTCAATAGAGCAGAAACATTTGAGCATTTAATTAAACTTCAATCAAAATTTATAACACAGGGGTCATTTACGATATACATATGCTTAAGATAAGATACATCTCAACTTCATTGGAACTGAAAAAAAAACCTTTTAAATATTGGTGCAAAAATTACATTTCGATGTAAATGATTAAAATCATTCAGCAAATCATGTAAATCAGCTGTTTATGATGGAGTTTTTTGTATTTTGTCAATAATATATTACATAGAATGTTGACCGTAAATATTGTAAACATTGGGTAAAGACTATCTAAATATTTCTTGATATAAAATAAACACAACCTTTAAAATTGTACACAATGTATTTGTGGTAACAGTTTGTGTGAGGAGACAA